CACTGTCTATGGATCAATCTGCCTTAAAATCTGTATTTTAATATATTTTACAATATGGAGCTAATACTTCAAAAAGTATATAGATCTGATATGTTGCTTCAGGAAAAAAAAACATAAAAAAATATAACTACAGAAAAAGATAGAGGGGAAACGAAACCGAAAAAGAGTCTTGTGCTAATATGAGAACATAAAAGAGGACATGAAAGCAGAGGGAGAAAAAAGATAAGCACTGAATTGTGTCTGATAATACAAAAGTTTGGGGTCAGTAAGATTTAAAAGAATGAGCAAGGACCCACTAAATTGATCAAAAGTGACAAAAGATATTCATAATGTTACAAAAGATTTCAAATAAATGCTGACTTTAAAAAAAAAAAAAAATTTTTTACTTTGTTCATCAAAGATTCTTGAAAAACATTGATAGTAATAAGAAATGTTTCTCGAGCAGCAAATCAGCATAGAATGATTTCTGAAGGATCATGTGACACTGAACACTGGAGTAATGATGCTGAAAATTCAGCTTGGATTAATAGGATTAAAATATATTTTACAATAAATTCAAAGAGAAAGCAGTTATTTTAAATTGTAATAATATTTCACAATTTTTCTGCATATTTGATTAAATAAATGCAGCCTTGGTGAGCAGAAAAGACTCGTTCAAAAAAATTATCAAAATCTTGCCGACCGTTATAGCAATTCAATCTCACAGTCCAAACAGACTTAAACTTGAAAGCCAAATTATTTTGTGTCCTTTTTGACTGTTTGTTTACAGAAGAACAGATAAAAGTCAGAGAAAATAGGGGATAATATTGAAATACTTAAGCTTCATCAATCACATCAAGTCCTTATTAACCTACTTTAATTCAATCAAGGATAATTCTAACATCTGAAACCGTACCTATCATTAAACAAGCACATTAACCTGAAGTAGAAATGTATTAATAAAAACTAGCGGACGTTCTAATAACACATGTTCCTATTAGCTCAGTGTGTGATTTTATTTAAGAGTAAGTGCTGCTTCTGTCTAAAATTTGAGGAATAAGGATGTATTTTGCATAACTATGAATTTAAATCAGCAGCATGTGTCAGATCTTTCAATTATCGACTGGCTTTTCGGTTTCTACAGCAATCATACCAGATCACTGCTCACCGAGTTCAACATCCATAGACGGCTCTTTAATTATTTTTTCACCGTATATAAATAAAACCTGATGTCTCCCATTTCAGCCTTCTTCCATGCTTTTATTTCACGAGTTCACACAAGCTCTGCTCTGTTGTCTGTTTCTCTCTCTGTCTCCGTCTCTCCCGGATTACTCATCCCTGCAGGAAAGACATGGCACTAGTTATCCATGGTTGACTGCCTTACACTAGGGCCAAAATGTGAAAATGATCCCGAGCCATCATATTCCACCTTTGAATCCGCATAAATCTGGCTGTGTGTGGATATATACGCTCAAACAGACCGTGCAAAACATGTGGACATGTATGTAGTGTGTTCTGCATCTCATTTCACACACCTGACATCCTGCACGAATGCTGCTGGTGCTATTCCACATGAATGCTGGTGTAAGAATCAATGCATGTCACCACGAACGCACCAGCATTAAAGCAGCACAAAGCAATACTTGTTGAATGTTGTGAAAGAAATGCTCGCCCTAGTTTACCAGAACTCATCCATTAAACACTGGAAACATATGATACATAGACAGAAAGAGAGTTTATTTAATCCAATAACAGAAAAATGCATGCAACAAATATCACACACAAAATATACAGACATCTAGTGCACTATACAGACACAGTGTAGACATCTATACTGAGCAGGATACTCACTTGACCTGGGTTGAATTCAGATCATATGTTAATCCATAAGAATAACCCGATGCTTTTCTCAGATCACGACATGTATGCTCCAGTTTCGCACGGCTGATAATTAAGAGAGTAGTAAGTAAGAGAATTAACACTAGTGTGTGTGTCACACCTTCCTCCCCTTCATAGGCAGCTCGCACAAATGATTTCACCACCCTAATTTAATTTGGCTGGCGCGCGCACAGGTTTTCTGCGCGGAACAGAAGGATGATGAAGATGAGGATGAGGATGGTGGTGCTGATATTTCCCCCGTTTTGAATCGCCCTCCTGATGTCTAACGCAAGCGGTTCATGTTTCAGACAGACGCCACACACACATTCACGCGCGCACACACAATCACGGCTCCTGGCGGAACTGCACCTCGCTCATTTAATTATTTATTTCATTTTTTATTCTTTCGGATGTCACACGTGGGCGGTGGGAGGACTCACGCGAGTTCGGTAGGTGATTGTGACGTGGCGCGGTCGGCGCTTCATACAAAAAGGTGTAAAGAAAGCAACTGACGGTCACAGACTGTAATAATATGAAATATTTTTATGCGTATAAAAAAAACTAGACTTGTTTTGGTCTGGGAAAATGCATTTATTTTCATTTTTTATACTCTACTTTTCTGTATTTTTTTAAATATACATATTAATAATTTATTAATAATCTAGGCCTACTATATATATATATATATATATATATAAAAAAAAAGCCTAACAATAATATCTACATCAAATTTAAGTCAGGTCTGAATTTTGACGCAACCATGTTTTTAAAGTCATCATGAAATCAAGGTTGACCATTCTTGTTATTTTTATGGAATATTGCAGTGTTTATTATAAAGTACACATCATTATTTTTTAAACCCATGTGCCTTTAATTTTAAACCACAATAACTTTCCCTCCCACTTACAACTACAATCTTCAAGCGATTATAAAATGTCCAATTAATTTTTCTGACATCACAGAATCGCTATTAGAGTTTTATGATGGCTAAGATAACTATAACAATAACTACATTAGCGTCCACACCAACATGATAACTGTTTATTATAAGTGCGCACTGGAGTTTTGTCGTCTGCAACTTGAAATGCTCGAGCTCTTTAAAGTCAGGTGGATTCTGATTGCCTGTCAATGTGTTTATCGTTCATCAGCTGGAAAAGATTGTTATGAAAGTGATTTCAACAATATTGTTCCTCTGTGCCGTTATCGTTTTAGTTGTGGTGTGGACTCTGATATTCTTTTAAATTTGGAACAATTTTTAAAACTATATCTTTATTGATACAGTTATTGTACATTGGTGTGAGCCTGTCCTTTATACAGGCTTCTGGATACAACAGAAATAGCTTTTGGATGTTTGTTTTTGGAGAGCAGGGTATTGGAGTGAGAGTGTGTGGTTTTTGGGATTTCACAAAAAATTGTGATTGATTCCAGTCTACTCCAACATGACACAGTCATTAAATATGCAGTTAAATATACAAAGATATTAAGATTGTCCTATAAACATGCTTAACCCCAATAGACTAGTAATACTTGTATATCTCCTACTTTGTGATTAATAATTACATAATCTGGCACATGTTCTGTATGCTTTGATGCCTCTGTCGAGTCCTTTGCCTTCTGTCTTCTGGCCTCTCTGATGTTCGTGTTAATTCTCCAGCTAGTGTCATGACTGATTCTGATGGTCTTTCTCTTTCTTGTACCTGTGATTGTACAGCCGAGGAGGATCTCTCTTTCTTTGTGGCAATACTTTGTATTGATGTTCCAGGGTTCTCCTGTCCATGTGTCCTAGCACTTGTAGGGACAATGGTTGATTCTCCTCTTATATCTCTTAGCAGATTCTGTGTTTGTACAATTAGCCGTGACAGCTCTTGCTGAGTGGTAATATTCCCTTCACTTGTTCGTCTTCTGTTTTGATCACCATCATGTCTAGCCACTGTGATATTGACACAAGCAAAGAAACAGGACATGCATAACATTAAACTAACCAAAATCACAAAACAAATGCAGCTGTAATGGTACTGTAAGTCAGCCCTCCATCTATAATAGACATAAAAAAACAAGCAAACAGGAACTACCTGTCTTTACTGTGGACAACGAGACATTATGAATAACAAAATACACAGAATCTGCTTTCTAGTGCACAGATTAAATACAAATCTTTTTTTCATGTAAAGTTTAAAAATAAACTTTAAATCTCTAGGTAATCAGCAATTGCATACATCTTATCTACCCACTTATGACACTTACTGTTTGGTGCACTTGAATGTGTTCTGCTGGTAATGTGCATATCGAAATTTCGCTCTAAAAAAACATGTCTGCCCGCCTCCATTGTGTGTGTCTGGTGCATGCCATCGTCTCCCACTGCAGGCAATCATAAGATAAAAATAAAATTGCTATTTAAAATGTTACTAAAAATATTAATATAACATGTTTTTTGATGGATTGCAAATTTACATACAACTAAAATTAAATCACACCAATAACTCATTTCATTAGTTACAGTTACATAAGTACAGTTATAAGTATTCTCTGATCATCTGCAAACTTTCAGATTAGAAACACACACACACACACACACACATATTTAAATTGATATCTTACTGAGAGGAGGAATTCCTTCCTTACTATTTGAACGTCTAGGAGCAGAGCCTAAAATTAAAATAATAAACAGTATTAATCAAATGCAATTTACTTTCTGCCTTTTTTTCTTCTCATTGTCTCTAAGACTTACCAAAGGCATTATCTCTCATTTCATCTTCATTAAGTGTTTCTTGAAGCAGATTTATGGTTCCCTGTAATAGTTGTGCTTTTTGTAGCAGAATATCGTTCTGTACTTGTCTTAACACACTGCGGAGATGTCTGAATCTAGCATCATCACACCTCTGAATCTCTAAAATAAACCAAAAATCAAGGTGATTTTTAAATGTGTCACAGCAAAAAGTATTTGGACACCAAAGCCACAATTTACAATGTATATGTCTTTGTATCATATATCAAAATATCAAAACAAGTGGCATTTGTTTTAAATAAATATAGCACAGCGACACCTTTCAATCAAAATATTTCACAAAATACAGGTGCATCTCAATAAATTAGAATGTCGTGGAAAATTTCATTTATTTCAGTAATTCAACTCATGACACAGTCATTAAATATGCAGTTAAATATACAAAGATATTAAGATTGTCCTATAAACATGCTTAACCCCAATAGACTAGTAATACTTGTATATCTCCTACTTTGTGATTAATAATTACATAATCTGGCACATGTTCTGTATGCTTTGATGCCTCTGTCGAGTCCTTTGCCTTCTGTCTTCTGGCCTCTCTGATGTTCGTGTTAATTCTCCAGCTAGTGTCATGACTGATTCTGATGGTCTTTCTCTTTCTTGTACCTGTGATTGTACAGCCGAGGAGGATCTCTCTTTCTTTGTGGCAATACTTTGTATTGATGTTCCAGGGTTCTCCTGTCCATGTGTCCTAGCACTTGTAGGGACAATGGTTGATTCTCCTCTTATATCTCTTAGCAGATTCTGTGTTTGTACAATTAGCCGTGACAGCTCTTGCTGAGTGGTAATATTCCCTTCACTTGTTCGTCTTCTGTTTTGATCACCATCATGTCTAGCCACTGTGATATTGACACAAGCAAAGAAACAGGACATGCATAACATTAAACTAACCAAAATCACAAAACAAATGCAGCTGTAATGGTACTGTAAGTCAGCCCTCCATCTATAATAGACATAAAAAAACAAGCAAACAGGAACTACCTGTCTTTACTGTGGACAACGAGACATTATGAATAACAAAATACACAGAATCTGCTTTCTAGTGCACAGATTAAATACAAATCTTTTTTTCATGTAAAGTTTAAAAATAAACTTTAAATCTCTAGGTAATCAGCAATTGCATACATCTTATCTACCCACTTATGACACTTACTGTTTGGTGCACTTGAATGTGTTCTGCTGGTAATGTGCATATCGAAATTTCGCTCTAAAAAAACATGTCTGCCCGCCTCCATTGTGTGTGTCTGGTGCATGCCATCGTCTCCCACTGCAGGCAATCATAAGATAAAAATAAAATTGCTATTTAAAATGTTACTAAAAATATTAATATAACATGTTTTTTGATGGATTGCAAATTTACATACAACTAAAATTAAATCACACCAATAACTCATTTCATTAGTTACAGTTACATAAGTACAGTTATAAGTATTCTCTGATCATCTGCAAACTTTCAGATTAGAAACACACACACACACACACACACATATTTAAATTGATATCTTACTGAGAGGAGGAATTCCTTCCTTACTATTTGAACGTCTAGGAGCAGAGCCTAAAATTAAAATAATAAACAGTATTAATCAAATGCAATTTACTTTCTGCCTTTTTTTCTTCTCATTGTCTCTAAGACTTACCAAAGGCATTATCTCTCATTTCATCTTCATTAAGTGTTTCTTGAAGCAGATTTATGGTTCCCTGTAATAGTTGTGCTTTTTGTAGCAGAATATCGTTCTGTACTTGTCTTAACACACTGCGGAGATGTCTGAATCTAGCATCATCACACCTCTGAATCTCTAAAATAAACCAAAAATCAAGGTGATTTTTAAATGTGTCACAGCAAAAAGTATTTGGACACCAAAGCCACAATTTACAATGTATATGTCTTTGTATCATATATCAAAATATCAAAACAAGTGGCATTTGTTTTAAATAAATATAGCACAGAGACACCTTTCAATCAAAATATTTCACAAAATATATATAAAAAAGATACATTGTTAAAAAATAAAGACAAATATCTTGGACAATTGTTGGTTATTAAACTCATAAGGGTTAGTTCACCCAAAACTAAAAGTTTGGTCATCATTTTCTTAAATTTCAGATGTCAGTAATGTTAACCTGCCATTCATGAAATATACACATGAAAGATAACACAGAAGTACAGATGTGTTTTCCATGAACAAACTACAGAAATTTTTATAGTTTTTATAATATCTTACCTCTCACTTGCAGGTGAACTGTTCCTGTTTGCAGACATCCATTGTGAAAGACTTTGCATGTATAGTCTCCTGAATCTGCTGGCTGAAAATTTCTCAAAGTCAGAGCAAGATTACTTCTCTCCAACTCCTGGATGGACAGACTCGCTCGGTTCTCATAGTTTGTTTTCTCCTGCCTGTTGTTATACTGATAAATGAGCTCTGTTCCTCTGAACCATCTAATGTCCAGGGGCACAGCACTGGTTTCAGGTGAGAGATGAGCAGGTAAGATGACGTCTGATCCAGGGTAAGCAGATACCGTTCCAATAGGAGTGACAAGTCCAAAGGCTTCAGCTGGAGGGAGAGAAACATATATATTGTGAATAGCATGGATAACAGTAACATTCCTTATAACTATAACTTTATGACCATTTTAATGTCTGATTTACGAAGTTGGAACTTGTTGTCAAAAGGCAGACTTTGAAATATGGCACAATTTTATATGTGACTGGCATTTCTCCTCTTATTTAACTTGCTTCCTCATCTAGTCTAATAAACCTGGCATTCTATATTACAAATATTGATGGCTCTTTTACTAATTGCTTTGGAAAAAGCGTCTGCTAAATGCATAAATGAAAACATAAATGACAGACTCATTTTTTCCAAAGTAACTTACAGTGCATTCAAGTGATGCATAATTTTATTTCAATGGCTAAATGAGGACCTTAAGAGAGTGTAAGATATTATTACTGCAATATTTTTCTGTAAAGATGTTTGAAGCGATGCCCATTGTGGAAAACTATGAATAAAACTGACCTGACTATGTATTTTATAAGTACTTGTGCTTCAAGGGAATCGAACCAGTGACCATTTGCTAGCACCAGCTGAGGTAGAGGAACTATTTCAAACTTTAAACTAAAGTCGTTTTGACTAATATGGATTATCTTTGAAACTTGTTTAGTTGAATACTTACAGCTGATATGGAGAAAAACTGTATCTTGTATTGATTGACTTTCATGGGTGACCTCACAAATATAGAGGCCCTTCTGTGAACTCCTGACGTCTCGGAGAGTCAAAGACACATTTCCATTTTGTAGATCTTGCAATGGGAGACTCACTCGACCCTCATAGTCTATGTTCATTGTCACCTGTCCATTCTTATAATGGAAAACTGGATCCTCCTTATGCCACCACTGAATTTCCATTGAAGCAGCACTGATAGCCGGCTTAAGATGACACGACAGAACAACATCATCTCCAGGATGGGAAAATACAATGTCAGACTGGCAAACAACAGACAACTCTGAAGAAAAGAGAGAGAGAGAAAATAATAGTACTGAAAAAAAAATATACCTGTCATATGTTACTTCTGTAATAGTGTTTTATGTACAGTGAGACTCAGCCGAAGTGAGTTACACAATTTTTCTTTTGACTTGCCTTGACTAGTTTTTGACACTTTAGCTTCAACCATTTTTAATATTTCTGCACATCTGAGACACTGATGGAAAATCCACTGTAAGCCTAGAAAACAAACTATGACAATATGAACGTGTCCATGAATATGTCCTTATATCAAACCTTAAGCTGATGAGCAGTAAATCAATTGCAATGCATTTCAGTTGCATTCAAACCTCTAAACTTATATAAATAAATGTAAATAAAATATAACATTTGAACTTTAATATTAACTAAATAGTTTCGCATTGATAAAACATATAAATATGGTGCTATTATCTGAAGATATAAAAAAAAGCTCAATCATAAATTCACATAAATTCTTGCAAATTATAGATTAAATCAAACAATATATTAATCTGTTGGTCTAAAACCAACTTTAAATCAAAACATTATTATTGTTGTTGTTAACACACACACACACACACACACACACACACACACACATATATATATATATATATATATATATATATAAATAAAAAATAAAGGAAATTTGTAAACTCGTACAAATAAACTAAATTAGGCATTTTGCTGCTCCCTACCGGCAGGACAGACAGCAGGCAAACTCTGGTAAATCAAAAACGAAAGGAGCTTGCTATTTTAACTATACGTTTAAACGAAATCAGTAGAATATAGACTACGTCCTTTTTAAATAATGAGAATGATAATGATAATAATAATGATAATAATAATAAATTACCGATACAATTTTCTAGTTATAATGATAACGAAGCTGCGGTAGGCCTATTAAATGTTAAAAAGGCGAAGAAAATAGACTTTTTATGTACGACTAAAAAAAACCTACCCTTATTATATTCATGAACGAGGTCTAATGTTATGTATAACTTTTTGAAAAACAATAGTTTTAGTTTCAGATGCCGGTCCACTTAAAGAGATATTTAAACTTCGGTTCATACGAGCAAAAATCAGAGACACATTCGTAGTGTGGTTATAATTCAACTTAGGCCTACATATACGATCAAATTGTATCTTACAACATGTATTAAACGTATTAAATAAATAAATTGACTTACAGTACCTTCCTTCTGTTAGAAGCGACGAAGGTTTTCTCAGACTGGTCAGGTGAGATTTCTTTAGAACGGGTCAGTTCGGTTTGGCTGATCACGTGACATTCCCTAAATTCTTTTAGCTTTAGTACTTTTGAATCTGTAAAAATGTTCGTTAAACCGTACAGCCTAGCCCTAGATTGTAGAATATACACTACTCAAAAAAAGTTAGGGATATATTCGACTTTCGGTTTAAATTTATAGAAAATGTAAAAGGTTCTTGCTACAGTGATATTATATCATGAAAGTAGGGCATTTAAGTAGAAGCATGCAATGGTCATTTCTTTATCTCAAACAATTTATTGAAACAAAAGCTAACAACAGTGGTGGGCATACCACAACAAAAAATGTCAATGTCTCAATAACTTGTCATGTGTCCTTGAGCATCAATTACAGCTTGACAACGACATCTCATGCTGTTCACAAGTCGACTTATTGTCTGCTGAGGCATGGCATTCCACTCTTCTTGAAGGGCTGCCCTCAGGTCATTGAGGTTCTGGGGTGCCAGGTTACGACCCTCTACACGACGACTTAGCTGATTCCATAGGTTTTCTATGGGATTCAGGTCTGAAGATAGTGCAGGCCACTCCATTTGAGGTACCCCAGCCTCCAACAGCCGTTCCCTGATGATGCGACCTCGATGAGCTGGGGTATTGTCATCCATGAAGATGAAATCAGGCCTGTGTTGCTCATGCAGAGGCACAAAGACTGGATTAATGATGTTATTCAGGTAGTATTGGCTTGTCACAGTATCATTCACAAGGTGTAGGGCAGTTCTGTATTGATTAGACACACCTGCCCAGACTGTAACACCAGGCTCGTCTGGTGACAACAGTGGCTGCTGCATAGCGTTCTCCTTGAGGTCTCCAACAGCGTTGGTGGCCATTATTTCTGCTCAATGTGAATCGACTTTCATCAGAGAACAGCACTGAGGCCCACTGGTTCCTCGTCCAGCGCAAATGCTCCCTGGCCCATGCAAGACGATGACGCCTGTGCCTGGTGGTGTGGTCAGGTACCCTTGCAGGTCGTCTAGCACGCAGACCATGCTGATGTAAGCAGTTTCGAATGGTCTGACGGGACACTCGGGTGCCTCTCACCTACCTTAAACGTGCCTGGTGTTGAGTGGCATTTATCTTCCGGTTCCGCAGGGCACTGTTCACAATGAAGCGGTCATCAGCATGGGATGTGGCCAAAGGACATCCACTTCTATGCCTTTCTGTGACTCTTCCAGTCTCTGTGTCTCTGTTGCAACCTGCTGATGACACTCTGTGACACTCTAAGCTCAGTGGCAACTTCCAATGTTGATCAATTTTTAGGTGTCATCTTGGTCTCATGATGTCAAAATGTGAACAGCATGATGTGTAGAGGACTGTTTAAATACAAATTGTCATTGAACCAGAACATTTAGGGGTTGATTCATGGATCAGACACTTGTTGTGATTTTTGCGGTTAATTACCTTGTTAGAGAACAGCATGCTATGCAATAAGTACTGAAACATTGAACAGTTGGACATGTGCATTTAAAAGTTTAGAGAAGGTCAAATTAAGTTCACCTTTAAAGGTTATAGTGCATTTTAGGTGCATTCTGAAATTTCACCCGAAAGTCGAATATATCCCTAACTTTTTGTGAGTAGTGTATATGAATTTAGAGTTTGTGAAGAGATACGATCCTAACATGCATTTGATTAATACGGTCCTTAATCAGCGATTTTATGCATGCTAATATGTTGATGATGAGATGTGTGGCATGTTACAGGTTTGGGTGATTGAGAACAGCATCCAGGTGGTTGCCACACAGTTACATTATTTGACCCCAGAGAACGTGTATGTTTGGAAGGTGAAGGAATATGTAGAAAATAATGCACATTTTTTCTTTAATTCTTTAGTCTGACAGATGACTTTTTTTCAGTGTTCTCTTATAAATCACACTGCAATTTAAAAAAAAAAAGGAAACTAGAGACATTGAGTAAATGAACAGGTGTTCATGTTTTGTTCTACTTAAATTCACAGTCATATCTCATGAATTTTGAAGATGCAATGTTAAAAAAAACACTTGACAATTTATTTAAAAATCAGTTTTAAAAATTATTTTTTGTTTTAGAAAAGTCATGCAGGTTTAGAATAACACAATGGTGAGTGAATGGTGACATTTTTTTGGGGGGTGAACTAAATAGCTAACAATGTCCTATATGAAGACTACAGTGGTTTTCTGAATCCGTACATTTATAACGATTGTGGTGTGTATAGTCTGAGCAAAACAAAATCTTTTTAAATCCTAAAATGTTATCAAACCCCAAATCAGAAAACATAATTAATCGGAAACACACTATTTTCTGTAAAGGCACATGATTTAAGTTAGCAACATGGCTAAAATCATTTACAGCAACTTTATTTTGGATTTCACAAATATGAGAATGATTCCAGATCACTCCATAACACATCTAAAATGTAGGAAAAACTGTGACTGTGACCAAATATGGCCATTTAGTCAAGATCTATTCTATACAAATGTTTAATCACAATAAACCTGTAGTAATTAGTATATTTAATTACAAAATGTGGCATTTTCTCTCTCTTTTTTCTTGTCTCCTTTGCCTCCTGCCTTCTGGCCTCTCTAGTGTTCGTGCTGTATCTGATTGTGATGTTCCTGGTCTCTCTTGTACCTGTGGTTGTACAGCTGATGAGGATCTCTCTTGCTCTGCAGCAACAGTCTCATGTCTCTTTTCTTGAGTGCTTTGCATGGTTGCTTCAAGGCTCTGTTGGGACTGTGTAGCTCTTTGTGTTAAACTTACAAATTCTGATCTTCTTAGTCTTTGCAAAACCTGTGATGACGTATCTAGTGATGATAACTCTTGCTCAGTGGCAGTACCCTCTTCTCTAGTTTGTATTGTTCTTTGACTGCCACGCTCTCCTTCCACTGCAAAACAGGACATGCATAACTTGAAATTGAACTAAATAAATCACAAATATATGCAGTAGAAAATCACAAACACACATGCAAGTATCTACTAAGGAGTTAAAGTGGTATCTTACTGAGAGGGGGAATTCCTTCCATACTTTTACTGGTACATGTAGAACCTAAACATTTAAAATGTAAACAAAGCCAATCAGAGGAAATCTCTAAACTTTGTTCTGTAATTGTATACCTTACCAGTGTACTTTTTTTGTTTATAGGCTAGTAATAATCTGGGTGGAGCTAGAAGCCATCTTTTCTTGTTTCTCAGAGTCTTTCAGACTAACTGACAAATGTCTTTTCATTTTTGTGGAGGTATCAGTACGATGTCAGTAGATGACTTACATTTATACTGTAATTGTGAAAACCTATCTATGAAAAGCTTTAAAATGTAAAAGTAAAATACTACTTTTGGCACTTCAAGACACTGTATGATATAAAATTTTCCCCACCAGAAGCATAAAGGAAGCATCTACCTGCTCTCCTGTCTTCCATGTCGAATCGTTCCAATTTGCTATGATCTTGTACTGCAGGAAATCACAAGATATTGTGAAAATAAGGTAATTTAGTATGTCAATCCCATATAAAAACATGGCACAGAAATTAAATAATCAGTTAAACCTCAATGGCTCTTCCAATCAAAGATTACAGTGACATGGTATTATCTGAAGGGTTGTGCAAAATTAGATTTGAATGATATATACTCCCTTAAAATTGAGTTTGAATTTGAATTTAATTGGTCACACGGTAAATTGCAATTGCAATGACAGGATGAGGAATTTACTGAATTGCATTTCAAAAGAAATTCAACAGGTGGCATTTCATAAATCTTTCTTTCATTGAGCTGTTATTGAGTTTTGAACTTTTTCAAAATTTTCAAACAAGGCTTTGTCAATCCAAAATGTAAAGTTTGTCTCGATAAACTTTGCTTTTTAATTAGTTATATGAATTTCTTCTAATTTAAATTAATTCTCATTTTGCTTCCTTTCATTCAAATTCTAAATAGCCATCCTGTCTAGAGAGTAGACTACAATGCCGGCTGTTCTGACTCACAGACTGTTTTGATATTTAAAGGATTTGCCACTGATGATTAAAATTCGAGTTTTGAGCAGTGTAGAGTAGCACTTGTTGTTTGTCATTTCTCCGATCACAA